TGCAATCTTTGGCTTGCCACCTCTACCACCTCCCCTTCCACCCGGTCCCCCTCCTCTCCCTCCTCTCTTCCCCTTGCCCTGTCGCTCCGAAATCTCCTTCTCCCACCCCTCCATATCAACAACAACGCCATCTGGTAACTTCCCGTCGCTCATCAGAACATCTCCATTTCCTCTACGACTCTCCACCCTTGTGAAGAACTCATACGGCAAGAGCCCCTGCTCATTGCCCTCTGATAAGATAACACCGTTTTCCGAGACGAAGAATTTGATTCCCGCGGCCAGTGCAGCCTCAATGTCAATATAAATTAATATCGACGAGTTTTTGCGCATGCCCGAGATCACGGGCGCAGATTCTTTATGATCTTCTGCAGAGTCGGTGGAGGGAGCAAGTGGCTTGAATCCAGCAGGAAGTCCGGATGCAAAGTGTATGTGATTACGACCCATGCGTCGTAGACCACCGCTCTTGAGGATGAGGTTCCATGCTGGCTCGTCAGTGCCGTGGATCACCGTTTCGGGAATGTTACCGGCTTCTTGTGTGATGGGGGTGAGAAGGCCATCGGTGTCGACCTTGATGGAGTGGCCTTGATTGGCGCGGATGAGGTAGTCCGAAGGTTTGTCTGATTCGGGGTTCTCCTGTGGTGGTTGTGCAGTGTCTGTTCCGTCAAGTGCTGAAGCGAGGATCATGGAATACCGTTGTTTGTCGTTGTTGGCTACTACTTCACGTAGCTCTGGGAATGTGACGCTTAACGATTTGAGGGTTTTGGTATTGAGCTGGAAGGAATTAGCATTTGCGCCAACTTTTATCCATTCAGCCATGGAATGTCTCAAAATCATTTTCCCTCCCCAATACTCCCCCATGGATTGTATTCGCTGACGTTTTTTCAAGCCCAAATAACAATGAAATCTAGAACAAAACTTACCGCATCCTGTACATTGACATACCCACCCTTCCCCAACTTCAAACCCTCAGAAGCAGCTCCATGTCTCAATAACCAGCTCACTTTCTTCGACACCTGCGTTTCTCTCGACTGGTTCGCTGGATTGCGACTACCGCCACCCCGGCCGCCCCTACCCATCTCTTTGGCTGCTCTGGTGAATATTTTTCGTGAAATTGTGACGGATTTAACGACTAGATGAAAACAGGAGACTGCGGTGTGTAGTGAAGCTGCGAAGTAGTTGTTTCTCGGAGACTAGTTGTCGTGAGATCAGTCAGTTGTTGTAGTGGTGCAACGAAGGATGACTGTGCTGTGTGACAGTGTAAGTAGTGATTAAGGGCAAGGGTGAGGGAGCGGCGACGTTTGGCGAGCTACGTTGTGATTGGCTATGAAGCTCGGTATGTGGTACCGGTAGCCCACACGATGCCAACCACAACTATCAATTCCATGAATCTGAAGGGAATTCTATGCTTGACACAGGTACAATTTTGAACTCTTCTAAGAACTTGTGCCATGCCCCATTCTTGCTTCTCAATCGATACCCATGATACTTGCCATACACTCCAAGGTAATCCCATCCACGTCAATACACCACCGTCGACGCCATGGAACCCTTAGCAAAGCTTCCCCACCAAACAATCAACAAGAAAAGCTTCAGGCCCATGTCACGGTAACGATATATCTCCTCATACTTAAATACTAACTCTACTTACTACCGTTCGAGCTATGCGCCCAACTCCTTCCCATCAGCAACCTTCAACACGGCTATAAACTTTGCGCGGGCTTTACGCTAATTCGGATCGACCATGAACTAGAGCTACAGTGCACCGTATTTAACCATTGGGAGAAAGAAGCCTTGAAACCTTATGGGCAGGAACTCAAGAAAGCCTGGAGTTGGGGAGGAATCTTAAGAGGGAAATGTTAAACCAGGGGTTGGTCGAGCTGACGAGCCGATGCCAGGAAGTGCTAATTGGGGCCTAGCCAATAGAGACAAGATATCGTAATCTTTTCATCCTCAAGAGTTTTCACAGAATGTGTGTGGAATTCGAGGTTCGTGAGTCCACCGTCTCAACCCACGAATACAAAATGACCCTCTCACCCCGCCCCACCCAGAGGGTCTCGAGCAGCTCGTTGACCTGTCCTTTCTTTGATGTGGACAAGCTCTTATTGAAGAAGGATCCGATTATGGTTATAGGGCGGCAATCGATTTCGCAATCGCAGGTTGATGGCTGTTGCGAGACGGCTTTTATGCGAGCGAGCTAGTGCAGGTGCAAGGAAGAGGGCCTCGAATTGGCTAATGCAAAGATCAGATATTTCAATTGTAGGGGTAGATACTATAGTATCTCGCAGGGCTTGAGATTGAGCGAGACACGTCTTCAAACGCCGACATTGATCACAGGGTTATTTACCCTCACTTCAAGCGGCTCAACTTTTGTCTTCCACAACATGTCGTTGCCGGAGTTTGTGGGAGGTATCAACCAATGGTCTTTACTAAGTGATAACGGTAGCTTGATCATGCCTGGCACTACGGTAAAAAATTGTTTACTGTAGAATGGTACGCTAGGGGTTTACTATATAGGTGTAAACTGACCTTGTGTATACCCGTAAATAGGTTTAAAGTGGTGGTTTACTTTTTTGTAGTATAAATATAGTATAGTTTACTATAGACCTATTAGTAGAGTAAATAAAGTAGTTTATAATAGACCTATTAGTAGAGTATATAAAGTGGTTTATAAAAGACAAAATATAAGTATTAGGC